AAACAATAATGCCGAGTTTAGTACAAGGGAGATGTCGGGGACTTCTCCAGGACTGTTTTAAATAAAGCGCTTGACCTCTAAGTTCGAAAACCTTTTGAGAAAAAAATTGATTTTAATCTGACCNCCCCCCATGCCACTTTTGTTGCCATATTCTCGCACAACCCCTGGTTCCACTTTATTTTTGATGTCTTAGACCCCTTTAAAACGCCGATTTTCGCGTTTTCTTCACGCATTAGCACTCTTCGCACTAGTCTAGACTATACTTCCACACTTTATATAAAATTAGATACCCAATTTATCGTGGACTGGGCCTCTAATTAAAGCCTGGTAAAAGCTCTTTCCTCCTACTCCAAGGTCATAAAATCCCGAGCAGAGCATGTGTTCTTTATTATACAAGCTACTATCTGATTCTATCACTTGTTCTTGACTGTCAGTTTTCGAAGCTGTCGTCTGTGTGGGGTGTATGTCACGGCAATGTATTTAGACAGCTGCTTGCTTAGGGCACATTAGCTTCGACGCACATTAGCTTAAACGTTTCTCTTTTATACTTCATCTAACATGTAAAATCTTTGGTCTATATAGGAATGATTCGAAGACAGGATCAAAAATAATTAAAACTAAAAATAGAAGGAAACAAGTTTTGGCTTCTTTGTACACATATCACAGCGTTGCTTTGATTACAAACTTCTAAGGCATTGATGAGCATTTTCACAAACAAACATGGAAAGAGGGATGTAGAGGAAGAGAAAGGAATTGTAGAGAGGCTGAAGGATGATTCGAGGCCAATTACATCTCCGAGGCCAGCTTTGTCACATAAAATAGATGTTACAGAACATCATGGGTTTTTCTGTGAAATGGCCAATAAACAGATGTCATTTGAGATTCGAAATGGTCAAGTCTTTCCTCGGAGAAATGTAATATATTCAGAAAAGACGATGATGATTAGGGCACAAATTAAAAAAAAAATAGCCACACATTGTACTATATACTATTGATTGGTCAGAGCAGATTTCCGGGTGTTCATTAGAACTCTGAATTGATCCGAGACGGTCCTCAGACTAGGCGGCTACGGAACCGAACCAGCTGTAGTAGTTTGACTGATTGAGAAATTGGACGAATCACAGCCACTGCAGGGGTTTGGCATGTCTGTACACATGACTAGAAAAACTCGGCTAAAAGATGCCTGTAAGAAGTAAGAGTATGAAGACTCTTGAATAAGTGAAAAGCAGTAGAAAAAGGGCTGTTGAACTCACATCGATATGGATTCTAAATTGGCTTGGATCGACCCGCCGCGACAACGCGCGGCGTCTTCCGCGCAAACTCTGAAACGACTATGAGGCATAATTGAAGAGGGTCATGGAGAAACAGAGCAAAAGAACAGATATCGCTTCGGCTGAATAATATTTCTAGAATTCAATAGAACCACGAATCCTTGATTTAGATTTCAAAAAGTATCGAATTGATGCTAATGTGCTATGACAGGGGTCAGCTAATACCGTAATCAAGTGGGCTCTGGTCCTACTCACCCCATGAGAGCAGTGGGCTAGAGGGGATTAAACGCTTGTTGGATACCGAAAATCCAACAAGCGTACAACCACTTCTAGCAACCAATGCCTTTAGGCCTCTGAAGACGATGATTACGTCAAAACGCCAGGCAGGTGATTAAATAAAATTTTTCACCTAAAAACCTCCAACGGCAGAAGAATATGAGACAGCTCAAACAATAATGCCGAGTTTAGTACAAGGGAGATGTCGGAGACTTCTCCAGGACTGTTTTAAATAAAGCGCTTGACCTCTAAGTTTGAAAACCTTTTGAGAAAAAAATTGATTTTAATCTGACCCTTCTGTGATTCTCTTCCAATCGTGTGACTGGCTGCGAACTGACGACACTCGTATATTGGAACTCAGGTATTTTTCAATCCGGCCTCCACGGTCAAAAAAGATATATATCTCGTCTAGAAGCCTAGTTTGAGGCAGTAGGCACGATAGGTTCATGGAATGGATCACTGTCCCATTGAATTTGTGAATGCCTCTTCTGAATTGAATCTTCTTCCTAGAATGGATCAAAGTCATTGAGGGGTTTCGAAGAACAGTTAACTGCAGGGGGTACAGCGGTCTGCTTCAGAAAGTCGCCTTAGGGGGACAAAAATATATCGTAATGACAGCGTTGCCACGTATGACCATAAAAAGCGAGAGCTAAAACTCATGAAAACCCATGGTTTGATTGGATGAACGGCAATTAGAGGACATTCGACCATATTTGAATAAAGTGCAGCATCATGCTGGCAATTCAGTTATTATTAGGCTCCGTTTCGAGCTTGGGATTCCATCCATTTGCTATTCATGAACGGTTCTCTGTTGACACAGCAACTATCAATGGGATATTTGGGCAGGGTATCGTTTCTATCGATAGCCATTGCTGTAATACATGCAAACTATTCTGCTCGGAGCAATCATTTCCAATCATAATCGCCCATCACATGTTCCCTCTACGTCATTTAATCGAGAAATGAACCTTGGGTTTGAAAAAACTAATGAAATCCCTTATAGGAACTTGACCAGCTTTGAAAACTTGCTGGAGTACACATCTGTCTGTAAGATCTACTATCGCTCCAAACCCCGGCTGCCCACCTTCTCTTTAGAGCTCCTAAACCTTCTGCCAGTTCCTTGACTTGACAGGAGGCTTCTTCTGCTTGGAGGCAACCAAGAATTGAAGTTAGGCCGACTATTGTATACATTCTTGAAAAGCCGATATCAAGAAATAAATGTTTCCAGTGTTACAGTATTTTCAGAGCTGTGCAGACCTTTTGACTATGGACCCAGTAAATCTCTTCTCTTCAGAGCTAATTTTGAACGATTTCATCCAAGGAGGCAAAATGTCTCGAATCCTGAAGAGTCAAAAGGTTCCCTTGGAGATGAGCTTTACGGCAATTTAATGGACATTCATTCTAAGGCATTCTGCATGACTTCTTTGAGCTAAGCAGATATTTCAGTTCAGAGCTCCAAACATAGACCTAACTTGTAATAGATGACGTCGGAAGATCGGGGATTCAGTATGGAACGAATCCTATCCTTAAATGAGTACAAGAGCCCATATAAGAGATCCTTGAACAGATAGGGGGTCTCATACCTCCGGCTTTGCTCTTTTCGATACAAATTAGAAAGCTGAAGAAGGTCCATCAGAAGGGGATGGGCATAGCTTCTAATGACTAGAATGCCACTTGATCGTTGTAGCCTATAATGAAGAACCAGTATTTACTGTTAGTGGTTCTATTACTACGGTAGAGAGCTCTGAGTGGGTGAGGGCAGAGTGGGTATTATTCCAGCGCAAGCGATTAGTGACGAATTCGGTCATCATTTCAACTTGTTGTATTCCCAGACAGCCTACCACAAGTGGAAGCCTTTAATGTTCATATCGAATGCTTAGAGTCTGTGGGAGCCCCGAACTAAAACATTTTGACAAACTCGTTCAATCCTACCAGAAGATCTTACCAGTGGTAGAGTAGTTAAAAACTAGGAGCAGGCAAAACAAAGTGTTGCTGAGAAGGGGTCAGTACAGATGAAGAGCTGAGAGGTAGACCGCTTGGAAGATGGAACATGAGGGTTCGGAGTATATTGAAAGGCCTGTCACTCAACAATGCGTCGTAG